TTCTATGTATATTTTTTTATATACTGTAATCTTTTGTTTACAGTAATTGTAAAAAAAGAGAAATTGATTTCTTACTGTACTAAAAAATATATAGTTCTGTAAAAAAAAAATATATATATATACAATAGATATATGTATATATTAGATAAAAGATAATGTAAGTAGTATATAATACATACAATACATACTATACATATGTTTTATACTGTAATTCCTTAAACAATGAAAAAAATTTAATACAGTTCTGTACAGACATCGGCATAATCATAATTTTTAATTACAGTTAAATTTTGAGTAAGTCAATTGTTAATATCGCTCACCAATTTTTTGATTATTAAATTAACCATCAATTTAAATATTCAAATTCCGACTTATTTTATCAACCAATAATTCAGAAATTTAAATTCTCAATTATTATAGTATTTTTCAAATTTCAATGGAGATTCGTAAAAACTTGATTATCGCAAGGTGCAACTTCTCATAATATTACTAAAGTAATGATCGATGCCGATTTATGATTTTGTACTGTAAAAAAATATATATAGGATAGTATACATGTATATAATACATAATACATCCCTAAAAATAAAAAAGAACGCAAAAAGCAAAAGAGAAACGAAGAAGAAGATGAAGCGGATTATGACAATTCCAAATGAATTATTCAACAATTAAATTCTCATTGTGAAAACTTTGTTGGAACCATTCGTTTTTCCTGCATTATTATTGAGATAAAAATTAATAATGAAAGTGAGAAACTGTACTGTTTTACTAATCTGGCATCCATTAAAAACAATAGGCGCACAACGCGCGCGCCCTGTTCTCGTTGTTACAAATTTCAAGATTTTTTACTCGAAATTGCAGGAGTAATTTTCTAACAGTTCACCGGAAACACAGGATGTCAATAAACTTTGAAAACACAACTTTCATTCAAATGATAAACTCAAAGAGATAAACTAATTAGCAAACCTCTTCCAGAGAGGTTGAATACATGAATTAGAATGAGCATTGAAGAATTCCCAGAGCGGAGTGGTTCGACTCGGGGCAAACGACCCATAATTTGTAGCTGATGGGGACGTTGGGCGGACCAGAGGTCGAAGAAAGTGACGCTTCAAATTCCGGAGGAGAGAGAAAAATAAGGAGTGAGATAAAGTTATTTCCAGCAGTGGAAAATAATCATCAACACTCATCAACTCTCCGACACCACCTCCATTCACCCGATGGCATGATTACGCAAGGTTAATGATTTTTCCACTAGATCTCAATTATTTGTTTCCCTCTGAACTAATTACCAAGAAAATCGTTGAAATAATTTTTTGCGAGAGAAGTGAGTCGGGTGTCTGACGACTTTCAGTCTCCGTTGAGTCTTTTCTCAATCACCCGATCGACCTAAAAAATTCGAATTCATTCGTCTTTAAACTTTCTCAGCTGAGGCGAGACTCGTTACGGAGCTGAGAAGTAAGTCTTGAGGATTGGTACGATCTTACAATACATCAGGACTGAGCTCTGATCGTAAATCTCGAGTTACTGGTGGATTATCCTTTCGGTGCTATTCTGATGCATATTGCATTTACCTAGGGGCACGGTCTTTACGGGGAATATAACTCGTTGCACAATCTGTTGCTCGGGGTAATCGCTCTAACTGAGGATGCACTCAACCATTATTTTTTTATTTCTGTAGGTGAATTGTTGGTGCCTCGAAAAATAGTTTATGTTTTTATCATTTAAGGATGGTTATGGAACTTTTTAAGTAGTGTAGACCATGGCTCGGCATCAATTATTAATTTTCGTAATATTTTCGTTGAAATTTGAAAATGATAGGATAATTGATAATTTAAATTCTCAATTGACTATGAATTAAATAATTGATAATGTGCAATTGTTAATTGACTATTGAGCAAATGTTTCTAAATTTCACACAAGGGATTTTCGATTAGCCAAATAATTGTTAATTCTCCGAACTCAATTATTGATTGTTAAAATCATTCGGAATTTGGATATTTAATTGATGAGTACTATTAACACTTGACTTCTTCAAAATTTAACTTTGTTTGGAATTTATGATTCTGCCGATGTCTGGTGTATACTCTGATGGGAAGGATTAGTTATTGTTAACGATAGTGATGCCGTCGAAACTAGTCGAGAATTATTTTGAAGAGATCATCTAGTGATGCCGCGAGACACTTTACGAGACAAAGCTTTGGAGAGATGATGTCAGTCTCAGAAAACATGGAAATCTTTGCTCTCGTCTCAGTCTCAAAATACGCAGTATCGACTTCTCTCGTGATGACTCTGAGTCAATTTATCTCATCGCGGTCTCATGTTTGTCGTGTTTTTTAATATAAAATCTCGGTTTTTGTCTCGTCTCGGTTTTCTACAAATAAAAAACACGAAAAACTGGAAACTAAGATGAGATAAATTGACTCGGACTCATCACGAGAGGAATCGATACTATACACATTTCAAGACTAAGGCGAGATAAAAAATTTCCGTGTTCACTGAGACCGAGACAATCCCTCCAAAGTATTGTCTCGTGATGTGTCGTGAAATGTCTCGCGGCATCACGAAGATCATCACGGTCTAGAAAAACATGGAAAGTTTTGAAATCGTCGCAATCTCGAAAGACATTGGGTCGGTGCATCTCGTCACAATTCCGGGAGGATTTATCTTGCCTAGATCTCGAGATTTTCGGTTTTTTAAATTCACGAGACGAGACAGACATCGAGACAAATATTTGAAAAACGGAAAATACTGAAACTCAGACTGATGGGTTCTTCCAAGTTCGTGACGAGATGCGCCGATCCAATGTCTTTCGAGATTACGACGATTCCTAAACTTTCGATTTTTTTTAGACCGTGATGATCTTTCCAAAATAATTCTCGTCTAGTCTCGAGGGCATCACTAGTTAATGAATGGATTTGGTTGGACACGAGGGTCTATTCGGTCTCCACGCACGAAAAAATTTAATAGAAAAACCTATCAAATTCGTTAGAAAATTCTATTGAATTTCTATCAAACTTTCTATTAGTTTTTGGCTGATTCTATTGACATGTTCAATAGAAAACACTCAATAGAAAAAGTCAACAGAATTCGATTTTTCGATATAACTAATTCTTTTCATATATTTTCTATAGAATTTTCTCGACTCAAATTTTCTAAGTTTTTTTCATTCTATTTTTGTTTTCTTCTCGTCAAAAAAATCAAACGAAGAAACTTAAAAAATTGAGCCGAGGAAATTCTATAGAAAATATCTCAATAAAATAAGTTACATAGAAAAATTGAATTCTATTGACTTTTTCTACTGAATATTTTCTATTGAAGATTTCAATAGAATCGGCCAAAAATTAATAGAACAGTTCAATAGAAATTGAATAGAATTTTCTAACGAATTCGATAGGTTTTTCTGTTAAATTTTTTCGTCCATGTCACCAAATGTTCGTTCGTTAATAGTTAACAAATGCATATTTGAGAAGGCTTGTTTGACTCGATTTTCACCCTTCAAGTGAACCATTCGTTGACTATTAATGAATATTCATTTGGTCATATTCAACTCTACTATTCGTTGATAGTTAACGAATCTCGTTTGAAATAAATGAATCAGTCTATCAGTCTAATCTTCAAGTGGCTTGAATTGAGACAGCAAAATTATCTTAAATTTGATTATTTGTATTTGGAGATATTATCAAAATGTCTTCATATTTCAGTCATTCCGACGTTAGCAGCCTAATGTCTTAAGTCAAGACGTCTTGAAGCCACTAATAGTTTTCTAGTGTGATATTGGACCAAGTTGAAGAAAATTATCCGTCTTTCGCGGTTTCTTCGCTTAGTACGATTGATGACTGCACCTTAATATATTGAATAAATGTATTGTATAAATAAATGCACAATCGATATTCACTTGAACATGAAGATTTTGGAAGTCAAATAATAAATAATTTTTTCTTTTTCCCCTGTTACATCCCTAACTTCTTCACGGCACCAAAAAAGGCTTTCTATTTCGGATCGGAAATTCCTTGAATTTCACGATGAGAAGAACAGAAATTGAATAAAATGTGGGGATCACCATAAAATGGAAGTATAGCCATTTTCGATTATTTTAGAGACAAGTTCTATAACATATTTTTTGTCACATTTCTATTGAAACAACCGCACAGATAAAATGCGGAATTTTTTTATGCGATCGGCCAAAAATCAATTGAAAGTTCGAGGAAAATCCAATAGAATCTTTTAGCGAATTCTCTAGGTTTTTCCTATGAAATTTATTCGTACGCACGGAGAGAAATATTCAATAAAAATTACGTATAAAAATTTCAAATTTCACCGGTTTTTCGTTGCAAGGGTCAACTTGCCAACGCGGCCATCGCCCGAGGGCCTTCAGCCAGGGAATGTTGAATGTGGAGTGGATTTTTCAGTTGAAAATTCCGTGGAATATTCGGATTGAAAATTGTGTTGAATTTTCAGTTGAATATTATGTGGAAAATTGTGATGAAAAATTGGTGTGGAATTTTGGCCCGCCCGAGGCTCGAACCTGGGAGCTTGAGGTTGTGAATCTCATGCTGCTATCAAGTGCGCCACACAGCCCGCTTAATTACGTATATTTTCCAGAATTTTGGAGCGAAATGTGGTTGTAGGACATTTTACGGAACTGTCACGGAATTTTTCTAGAGCGTTCCGTAATTTATATCTGAATCTCCAGTAAAAAATTACGATACCGTCACTTAAATTTTCTGAGTCGATTCCGTAATCGGTGGGCGAATTGTGAGTTCTGTAATTTTTACTGAATATTTCTCTCCGTGCGTGATAAGTATTAAAACGCGAAACTTTCATCGTGATCATACAAGTGAATAATTCTTAGAAAATGCAACATTCTAAAGAAATTCTATTTGCTATCATTATTAGGCAGTTGATAGCTCGAGGACTTTCCGTTACTAGTTACCATTGATAGGAAAGCAATTAGCGATGCAAACGTTGAATATACTAACAAACATCACAATTCCCAGCACTTCACGCAGAACAATACCTCAAGGAATTGAATATTTCAAATTCATCATGAATTCCATATTATTCGTAACTGTCGCTGCTCTCGCCATCCATGAGGTATATTATAAAATATCCACTACACTGATAGAAAAAATCTCTGACACGTAGAGTACAAGTTCTTGGCTCAAGAAACTACATCATTCGCGCCGTTTTAACTGAATGAATTCTTCATGACTTTGGATCAAAGAAATAGGGGAACTTGGCATAAAGTATTAAATATTGGACGGAAAGAGCAGGAAGTTTCGCGTGCATCATAATGCTTTCCATATTAGATCAGACTCGCTGGCAAGAATCTCTTGACGGAAAATAATCTTGCTTACATTTAATATTAATCTGATGAAGTTTCTATTCTCTTGTGTGAAGAATTCGTACTTTTCGCTATAGATAATTCTGTTTTTCATGATTTTCGACAGAGGTGATAGGGTTTCCAATCAAGTAAATCGGTCCTGAGGGCACACATCTTCCTCTCAGAATATACTTCAATTAGGTAAAACTAAGAATCTCTTGTATCAAGAGATTCATGGTCAAAACCCCATTCTCTTGTCTCAAGAAACCACCTCTGTCGTGTCAGAGATTTTTTCTATCAGTGTAGATGATTAGAATTCATAATTTACCCTCGACTCTCTGGTGTTATTTTTGCTTCCAAGATATGGGCGTGCAAACGTGTATCGACGAGAATACATAATACAGGAGTTGAGGATTTAAACGTGACGATTAAAGGCGATAAGTGGGATATTAATGTACAGTCAGATTTTAAGGACCTGGGGGTATGTTAATAATTTTATATAGTAATATTTGAATTGAATTGTTTTATTCAGATCGAACAAGTCAGCAAATTTTCTAATGATTTATTTTCAGATGCAGGTTAGTTATTACGAGAACCGAAGTTGGAACTCTGACAAATACGAAGGGAGGTTGTGTGATGAGGATGAAAATCTGGAGGTTTTCAAAAAACTTCTGTATACTAGTCTTGGACTTGATTCTTGCAACATTTCTAAGGTGAGAAATAGTCAATTCCAGAATTTTTTTCAAATTCTTCACTCGTAATAATTTGATCTGTCTAGGGAGACTATCAGTCTAAGAAGGAGAATGAGTTTTCCGATGATGTGTGCTCCAAGATATCAGAATTAACTAATGGGAATGACAACGTATTATATTTGACGGTTGTCCTGGACGGAATAGCTATGTTAGTAGTTCGTACGGATAGCGCCTGAGCATCTATGAATTGCTGTTATTTTTCAGTTAATTCAATATTTATTGATTTAATTATATTATATTGTTATGCTATTTCTGTTGCTCTATCGTAGAGCATATAAATATTATCTTTGAGCTGAAAATGGTTCCACCTTTTCGTATACATCATAACACGGACGAAAAAATTTAATAGAAAAAGTCAATAGAATTCAGTTTTTCTATATAACTTATTCTATTGAGATATTTTCTATAGAATTTCCTCGGCTCAAATTTTCTAAGTTTTTTCATTTGATTTTCTTGATGAGAAGAAAAGAAAAATAGAGTGGAAAGAACTTTTTCTATTGAATGTTTTCTATTGAACATGTCAATAGAATCAGCCAAAAACTAATAGAAAGGTTAATAGAAATTCAATAGAATTTTCTAACGAATTCGATAGGTTTTTCTATTAAATTATTTCGTGCGCGAATTCTATCCTTTTATAGAGGTTCTTGCTTATTGAATAAAGAAAGCTCATATATTTTGGTTAGTGTGTCCTAAAACCCCCTTTATTCTCCACTAATTCTTGCATCTCCAAATTTTCGTGCTTCATCGAGATGACAAAATTACATCAATTTTCTTGAAAATTTGTGACATGTTTGACTGAGAAGAGAATGACGTTTTTAATTGATAAATAGGTACTTCTGAATCAAAAGGATGTGATTATTTTTCACAGATTAATGTTAACGACTGGGCTAACCGAATGAATAAAATAAATTAGGTAAAATTACTATAATATCAAGACAGGCCTTTTAGTTTTAAATAAATATTCTACTGGACTAATAAACTGGCAGAAGGTCTACATCTGGCGCGGCTTGGGCCAACTTCCTCCTATTGAACTCGTTATTCTCGAAGTGTAGACGCCTAATTCTCCTTAGAATCCACAAAATTCATTGAAAATAAAAGAGAGAGCCTATTGAGCAGTACTACCCGCTGTCGGGTAATACCGCTCGGCACGATTCCAATGCCGCTCATAGGGTTTTGCGTGTATCGCTCGCGCCGCAACCTAACCTGTACTCGAGTGCTGTCGAGCAACTACGTGGCCGATCCTATGAGCGGTATTACCGGCTCCGCTCGGCGTCAACAAAATTGTTGATAATTATTGACGTGAGTGGAGTTTTGAGTTCGAATTGGTCTCAAATTACGCGTGAAAGTACCACAAATCGAATAACCACAGTTTAATATGAGAATTCAGCGTTTGAAACTATCAAAAACCTTAATTAAAAGTCCATAAATTTTGCACTGTAAAGACCTCAAAACTTCACTACGTGTTTTTCCATATTTAAAGTGGTAAATAAAGTGAAATTTTTGCGACAATCACATCCTATCATCAAATTCTTCATTATCAGGAACAGAAAGGAATTTTCAAGTTGATGGTTGTGGAGAAAATCGGGTGAGCGGTACAACCCGCTGAGCGATACAGGCACACCCTCCCCTATTCCTCAAAAACTCAACTGGGAGATAAGTCGACTTAAACCGTTTCACCACTTCGTTACTGAAATGATTGTAATGGTAGAAAATTGATTGTTTATAAATTATTTATAAAAAATGCTCGTAATTTTCAAAAATTGCAATTTTCAAATAATTTCATCAATAATCCCCCAAAAATAAACTTTTTGTGATACCTGCCTGAAAAGTGCACTTTTCGAAACGGTTTAGTTTGCGTAAAGCGATCGTTTTCCGCACAGTATGCGTAAAGTGAATTCTCGTGCGTAAAGCTTCGCTTTACGAATTCGAAATTCACTTTACGCACGCGTGCACAAAAACAACCACTTTACCCTGTTCCGAACTCTACAGGTATCACAAAAAATAGGATGGGTTACACATGCGTGCGAAAAAGTGAATCTTTACGCACTTGTAACCTAATATACTATTCTAATTTTTTTCAGATTTTTAAAATGTTTTCTAACGGATCAATATCGAGATTCTAATTCAGGCCAGCAAAGTTTAAATAATGGAATCATTGTAAAATGTCCGGAAACTTAGGGTCAAATGGGGCTTGAATGAAAGCTCTAACGATCAACAACAAAAATAGAAAAGCCCTTCACTGAAGAAAAAACAACCAAAGTACGTGGATATCCTGAAACTTTGAATGTCTAAATTCGATTCTTCATTGTAAACCATCGGAAAATATTTCGAAAACATGAGAAAAAAAATAGAAAATCCATTTTTCAAAGAAAATCTGTAAAATAGGTGCGACTGTAGTTATAAATCGTCGTCGTAGAGCCAAAGAGGCGTCACCCCTACGATTATACACACCACTTATGCCCCTTTGGCTACACGGCGACGAAATAATTTACCGACAAAAAATCTTCCACCAACAGAACTCGTTGCACTTATTGCCGGAGGTAATCTCACCAGCTGTGGATGAACAGCAATTTTTTACATTTCCCCTGAAGCCGCGAAATATTAAATTTTAATATTTTCATAAGAAAAGGATTTCTCTGATGTGGATTCTGGGGAACTGGGTGAATGCTGAGTGTGACGAATGGGGTGAATGGGACATTTGAATTGTTCCGTTGAATTGCACGTGCAACCGTAAAATCCAATAATTGATAATTGTATATCTCTGACTATCTGCTGGGGTTTTCGCCTTCGGCAAACGCGCCTGGAGTGCGCAGATTCCCTTTGGGGCAATTACAACCGGTGGTTTTCACTTTTCACAAGTTATATACACGATTATATCTCTATAAAATATTATTGGAAATTATTGTTAACCGCAGGAGAAAAAATTAGCATTCACTCAAAACTATTTTCAAATTTCTCAGAACAAATATTTGAATTAAAAATAAATTCAGTAGTGAAGTGGTAAATGGAGATAAGTCGACTTATCTCCCAGTTGAGTTTTCGAGGAATATTTCCGAATCTAAGCGAGATAGCAAAATTTTCGTAATGACATTTGTTGTAGCACTCAATCGGCTCCACAAAAAAGGTTATAACAAAAATTGTGCAATCTCCCTTAGATTCCGAGATATTGATCGAAAACTGGTCAGTAGTCAAAATTGACTTATCTCCTTTTACCACTCCGCTACTGAATTAAAAACAACAAATTTTATTTCCTTAGATTCACTAATTAATTTTTTAAGGAATTGAAAAATTTAGTAATTGTCAATGACGTGAATTTTTTCGATTCTCGAAATTCAGAGAATTTATTTGAAGAATTGAAAATTCACTCACCCCTCTCACGTGTCAAACGTTGAACAGTTTAATTCAAACTCCTAAGCAACACTGGATATTGAACACCTGAACATTCCATGAAGCTCGCCTTCGAGTGACTGGAGGAATCGCACCAACAACAGAGCACTCCTTGCCGTCTCCACACCGCCCAACTCCCATATCTTCTTTACATTCTACTCCCAAGTCTGTATTGTCCCAAATGGCTTTCACTTTGTTACTCGCCATCGCAAGGAGCATGGGACGAGCATCAATGCTCGCACGTAGCTTGGTATAAAAAATCTTCAATGTCTGATTGTTTCGATGCTTAAACGCTTAATCATATGATCATTAAAACTAAGTTATGCGAAAAAGTGGAAGGAATCCTTCTAAGGAGGAAGAATTAGGAGCTGTTTGACACCTATTTCTCTATGCTTAACTTGAGAATATTGTCGGTCATGGTAATTAATTAATTATCATCTCCAAGATTATATCGATAATCAACAAATCAAGGATAGCCAAATTTGTAATATTTTATTACGATTACTTTTGGAGCCCTTAAATAAATAACATCAACCTTGAAATTTTTTCAGCAATTAAATGTCATCAATTCAAATATTCAAACTTTTAACTATTTTATCAATCAATAATTTAAGGTAGGAAGATTGACGATTACTTGTGGAATCGAAAATCCCCTTTCAAAAAATTGGAATTATTCACTTAATAGTAAATTTACAGTTTCATATTAACAAATTTTAAATATTTCCCTATTCGTAAAAATCAGATTATTAATATTATATTATTTGAAAAATTGAATCAGCATATTTTAAACCTTCAATAATGTAAGGGTCAAATCCGTGTAATATTACAGAAATTTAATATCGATAGGGATCCCTGCAACAAATGTTTCAGGAAATCAATCCCGAAATATTTTTTTTGTCATTCCGGCTGTAAGGCAGCGTTTCACGGACGCTGCGCTTCGCTCCCCGTCCATGAATCTCTGCCTACGGCCAAACAAAACTTCTGGCGAATATGAGGTTTGCAGCACGAGCCTTCGGCTCCTTTATTTTATTTTCATTATTTTCGGCTACCTTTTATTCGCCATAAAAGTTTTTTTCGGCCTAATGACGAAATATACTATTTCATCACACTGTCCGTAAAACGTCGTTTACGGACATTGTGAAGAAAAATGATGTTCGTCACAAAATTATGTTCTGACTCGTGTAATTGCCTCATACTCGTCTAAAAATAGCTATTTCGTCACGCTGTACGAAAAAGTTACTTTTTAGGCACGCTTCGCGTGCCTTTTAAAACGTCCCTTTTCCACACATTGTGATGAAAAATATCGTTCGATACTCGTGGGAAAAGTGTTTTTTGGCTCGTGGGATTATATCACTCGCCTTCGGCTCATGAGAAAAAACTCTTTTCCGCACTCGTAACGAAATATACTATTTCGTCACAGGGCCGAAAAAAACGAGTGTGAGGGTCTGAATCACACGAGTCAAAGAAGTTGTTTTCGGCCGAGTGACGAACATAATTTTTTAAAACTGTTGCTACGGTCATCTCGTGCCAAAAAATGCCTTTTCGTTTACTTGTAACCTAAAAATACTATTTTGTTATGACGGCCATGGACAGGGAGGATATTCACGGATGAGCAGCGTGACGTCACCGACTATCGTTGGATATGATTTTTGGAAGAGGTAGGAAAAGAACTAGGTGATTCTCGATATTATTTTGCAAGAAAAATCTAGTGAAAAAATTGATAGTCCAGACTGAAAATCGCTTTACACATTCGAAAAACAATAGTACATTCCGATAAGAGTGCATAAAAATGGTACAGAAAAGCCACACGTCGAAGGCGAGGGCTATCCTCTCACGAATAAAAGAATACTTTTCCCACGACTGTCGAACCCTATTTTTTTTATTATAACTGTTACTATGACTATCACTCATTTCTGCATATTATTTTTGATCATTATGTATTCATTTATTGATTAAAAAAGAGTTAATGCCTGCTTTTTTTATATTCAGGTTTAAGAAAAATTTTGAGAGATGATCTCAAGATCTAAGTTGCCGATATAATTATTTGACCATAATCAAAGGCACCGATAACTTCTAGTGACATCAACTGGAATATTGACGGTATAACCTGTCCACGGAAAGGGAAATTGAAAAATGCCAAATTTTGTCATTACGACCTTTTGCTTTTGGGGAATTTTTCATTTCTGGGCTTATAAGTTAAAGGCAAAAGGTCGTATATGCAGCTCATGATCAATCTGAAAATGTAGGTATTATAATAAATTTCTCCAGCGTTTTCACGGAAAATTGCAGAAAAAATGAGTGGAGGTACGACCTTCTCGCTTTAAGAAACTCGGACACGCGATATATAATACATATATTTTATTATTATTATTATTTACATTATCGTTATTTTATATCCTTTACACGAGAAATTCAGACATAAATTACCGTGCCGTCTGGTAAAGTGGGTTCAATTGTCTATCACCAGAAAAATTCCGGTGCTGCACAATAAAGATTGCTAACCAAAAATGTTTCACCCAATTTTCAATATAAGATTTTTTAATAGAAGAATACGTGTGAAATTTCACTTTACAAACATCATGATAATACATATACTATTCTATTGAATTTCGGTACACCCTGTATATACTGTGGTACATAAAAAAAAATCCTACCCACATTGCAAATTAGAATGCAAAATGAAAATGTTAAAATCCCCGATCAATCCAAATTATTTCATATCGAAGTCCAAAGAAAGAAAAACGAATGTCCGAATTTCACACACCTTTTGTATACATTTTTCACACACTAAAAAACATCGGAATAAAATAACAATGTGTCTAAATTCCAGACGAACAGGTGCCTAAACATCTCAATTCATGTTTGAAATTCAGACAAAAATTTTCATTTTATTCAGACGTTTTTCAGTGCCTGAAAAATGTCTATAAAAGGTGTAAGAAATTCAGACCTTTGTTTTTGCTGTAAGCCGTTTTGCAGGCACTACAATAACTCCAAAACTCCGGGAAAATCTGAAATAATTTGAATGTAAAATCATGGCCGTCGAGCACCGATCGATAAGATCGAGCTTAACTTTCCCTCACGTGGTCTCGCACCTCTCGCACTAAAAAAATTCAAATGCTTCCCGGTGCTGCCATCCCACGTGTGCTTACGCCGCAGAAGAGAAAAGATTTAAAAAATGACAAAGATAGCATATCTCCCCCCCCCCAGCATCGGTCCCGCAGCATCGTCAGCACAGTAACAGTCAGAAATTCAAAGCAGTCTCCGCGTATCAGGTACTCGAGGCGACTTCAAAAAACACGCGAAGCCCAAGTGCAACGACCCCCAAAAATTCAGCTGTCATAAAAAAATTAAAAATTAATAACAAACCCTCCAAACCATTTCTACAGCGACGTAAAAATATTTAAATAAAGAATTGGGTAATGAACAAACTGCGCCGAAGATGTGGTACATTCTCGTTCCGATATTAATATCCCTAGTGATCTTCGTCAGCCTGAATAATCGGAGAAAATTCAAACTTCCGCCGGGACCACTTCCGCTTCCGGTCCTAGGTAATCTACTATCGATAGATCCGGTGAATCCTCACCTGAGTTTGACAACCCTCTCCCGAAGCTACTCTGGAATATGCGGCTTGCGGCTGGGCTCCGTCTACACAGTTTTACTGACGGACCCCAAACTGGTCAGACAGGCCTTCGCCAAGGACGCCTTTACCGGAAGAGCGCCACTCTACCTGACCCACGGTATAATGAAGGGCTACGGCATCGTCTGCGCGGAAGGTGATCACTGGAGAGAACAAAGAAAATTCGTGTCATCAACCCTGAAAACCCTGGGTATGATGAAACACGGGAGTAGAAGAGAGAAACTCGAGGAGAGAATGACCCATTACATCTCTCAACTCCTCGAGAAACTGACGGGAACAGACCCGATACAGGGGGTTGATCCCCTGGAGAGTCTCCACCATTGCTTGGGGAACCTGATCAACGACCTGGTGTTCGGGAAAGTTTACGGGGAAGACGATGAGACCTGGAAGTGGCTGAGGTACCTGCAGGAGGACGGGGTGAAGCACATTGGGATAGCTGGACCCCTGAATTTCCTTCCCTTCCTTCGACACCTTCCTAAATACAAGAAGCTGATGAAGTTCTTGCTGGATGGGAAGTTGAAAACACACGAAGTTTACAAGGAAATCATCCAGAGTCATCAGGAAGGAAAGGACAGCATGAGGAACGACAGCTTTCTCTCAGCTTTTGCTGAGGAGATAGAGAGGAGAGTTTCGAGTAACGAAGAATTGGGTTCATTCACTGATCAACAGTTTTATCATCTACTCGCTGACCTTTACGGGGCTGGGGTGGACACGACGATGACAACAGTCAGGTGGTTGTTGTTGTATCTGGCGGCTTACCCCGAGGACCAGGAGAAGATCCATGAGGAGATGGTGGAGAGTCTAGGGGAGAGAGAGGTCACTCTGGAGGACAGGGGGAGATTGCTGTACCTGGAAGCCTGTATCTGTGAGGCTCAGAGGATCAGGAGTGTTGTACCTCTGGGAATTCCTCATGGGACGAAGGAGGACACCAAACTCGGGGGTTTTGATATTCCAAAGGGGAGCATGGTGGTGCCCTTTCAATGGGCGATGCACATGGATGAGAGGTACTTTGAAGATCCTGAGGTGTTCAGGCCCAGCAGGTTCATCTCGGAGGAGGGATTGAGGAGGCATGAGGCCTTTCTTCCTTTTTTAACGGGGAAACGAATGTGCGTTGGGGACGAACTCGCCAGGTGGATTCTCTTCCTGTTCACTGGGAGAATTATTCAGAAGTTCAGAATTTCGGTACCTGAGGGGGAGACGGTGGATTTTGTTGGGGATTGTGGCATCACGCTGGTGCCGAAACCACACAAACTGGTGTTTTTAGAACGTTAAATCATTCGCTTTAGCGCTGACGGCGGTGGCTGTCTGGGTAGAGTGTGCACAATGAGAAAAAATATTTTTCTGTACTGCTTCTCACGATTTCTCGTCTGGGAATTGGTAATGCATACTTCCCACACTTGAAAACGTGAAAATCACTACACAAAAATCTTGTCCCGGGCTGCTGCGATGGGGTTTTTTTACTCGTGTGGTTGGCCAGTTCTTGAGTTTGGCTCGGACGCCAACGTCACACGAGTAAAAAACCCCACCACAGCAGCCCGGAAAAATACTATTTATGTCATTAGGCCCGATAAACCGTGAAGCGTTACCTGACCGTCTTCGTGACGTCATGACCGAAAAATTGGCCTCGAAGACGACTGATTTTCAATTACTTATCATAAGACGAGCCTGCGGCACGGGCGGCAATTCCGCTCATGGGCACGACTATTATTTTACCTCCCTATGTAAGAAATATACTATTATACAGTCGTTTCTACTAATGACCAGTTGGGAGACCGCAGTAAAATGAAACCCTTGGGATCACATCCGATGATCGAGAGATACAACTGTTATGAATTTTATGTCGCTTTCAAACTTGAAAAAATAGTTAAAAAATTTTTGTCAGGTGATCCATCCTGTTCTCTCCCCCTTTTAATAACGTTTTTTTGTAGTGAATGAAATTTATCAAACTGAAGGGGTGGAGAGCTTCATCATTCGTTCATCTAAAATTACGTGATCTCTAAAACACCGTTACCATGATTATATATTCTAGCTAGAGGATGGCGGGCGAAAAAAACTTTGAAATAAATATCGAATCGTATCCGTAGATCGTCAATATCTGATGATCTACCGATACAATTGTGATGAATTTGGTCTCATTATTAAGCTTAATAAGATAACTTGAAAATCGTACAAAATTCGTCAATATTCCCCCTATCAATATCTAGGTATTCCTGATTAAACAAGGTGCAAAGTTTGCCACACTCTCCCATTTAAAAACATTGAAATTGAGTTTCATGAAGCTAATGCGGAAGAACTAGTTATCTCTATATTTTAAACTATTTTATGATTAAAGACGTCATGTTTATTTCATGTAACTATTATTTTCTCGATGTTTGGTGAATTTTTAATACATATGTTTGACAATAAAGAATTTTTAATTATGGACTAAGTTTTTGTTTTCAATTGTATAAGAGTAAAGTGAGGCCATACAGTACAGTAGAAGCTCACCGTGGATGAACCTGTTGCCGGAGGGTCGCAGTTGCCGGATGGGAAAATAAAAAGTTCGAAATTTGGGTTTCTGGAAACTGGGTTTTTTAAACTAGCCGTATGCCTAGTGTATGTAGTAATCCTCTTCGTTGAGTGTCGTTAGTTGTATTAAAATGATAGGGGAGAGTGGGGCAAAATAAAATGGTCGAAAAACGACTTTTTGACGCAATTCAAGCACAAAAATATTGTTTCATTACATTTTTTTTCCTACTTTTGTTTATTAACTTTTTTTATTCTTGGGAGCCCTGATGAAAATAATTTTCCATTCTACTGAATTGAAAAACTGAATATGAAATATTAACTGAATATGTAATTTCTGAGCTCCGAATTGAGGACTTTTGATGGGAGAAAATTTTATCAATGAATTAATTGAAAAGAAAATGAAACAGCAAAATACAAACTCCAGAGGAAGGCCCAGAGGGAGACCCAGACTGGAAAACGGAAAAGTTGATGCTTAATTTCGATCGAATGAAAAAAGAAAAGTGTAATCGGCCTAATCTAATCGATTGAATTATAGTCAATTGAATTATAAGGAGAATAGGAAGTTATTATTCTCATCAGTACTCCCAATAATGAAAAAAGAAATAAAAAAAATTTGTTTTGCTTGAATTGCGTCTAATAGTTGTTTTTCGACTGTTTCATTTTGCCCCGCTGTTTCATTTTGTTCCACTCTCCCCTAAGTTGAAGGTAAAAAGTTAGTTAATCATAAAGAGAATACCCCCACAAATATCTTGAATTCTTCACAAGCAGGATTTATGTCTCAAGTTGTTTTTCATAATTAAATTTTTCGCCTAGATCTAACCATCGAGCGTGCGGCAATTGGGTCCGACGTGGGAACCAGTGGGAACCCTGGATTTTAGGAGTGGGGGTAGCGCTCTTTCAAACACGCCAAAATGTCGAAGAGAGGTGAGTCTTTGTGACATCTGTGGAAATCCATTGAAATCCGAGTGAAAATAGTCGATCAACTCGAATTAACGCGATGTGACGAGAGAGGAAGAGTTCCTTGACATGTTCGAGTCAATCGTTTTTGCGAATTGACTAAAATAATGAGAAACTTTGGTGCACGATATTTTTTTCCTGCCATGAGACTTCAATGGTGGGAACGTACACAAGGACCTAGGTTAATGAATTTTTTTTGTTTATTCCGATGATTAGGGCGTGGTGGATCAGCTGGAGCCAAATTCAGGATATCCCTGGGTCTTCCTGTGGGAGCTGTTATCAATTGTGCTGACAACACTGGTGAGTTGGCCATTTTTTTCAACAAAAGGGGTAGAAGAAAGTGTCTAACCTCACTTTAGCCATCATCAGTGATCAAATGTTCATTTGAAACAAGTATTCCGTTTGAAATGTTTCCCAGAGAATATTATTTTAATGATTAGTTGAAATGTTCATGAGTATTTGTAATTTCCGAGTCATCCAATGTGTCGAATAAAATAATATTGCAGTAGTTTTGATAGAAAAAAAATACTATTTGGAATAAATAGTCAACGGCAAACTCTTGAACTACAGATAGATCATTATTTGACATTGTTTTTTTTTGATTCGATGGAAAATTCAAACGAAATAACTTAATTAAATAATAAAACGTAAACAACAATCTTTCGACAACGACACAGCATTCGATGAATAGTTGAAAACTATTGGGGAAAAGGAATGAATTTCATAACTACATTTGTGACATAACAAACAAAATGTGTATTATATGGCAAAGTCTATTGACCATTTGAAATCTTCAATGAAATTGTGAAATTAAGGTCCGGGTGTACTATCTTTCGAACGTTATCTCGATGTTTTTTTCATCTTTCGTCATCTGAAATTGTCAATTGAGTCCTGCATCATGTAGAAGTTTTGAAAAATGATGAATGCTTAATTTTTTCGAAGAGCATTTTTAATTTATATACAAAATAAGTTGAATAACAAGAAATTGAAAAATGTATCTGATTTAGGGTGACAAATGGCGGCCTGTCACCCAATATCATGCAGGGGGAAGACTGATTTCGTAAATCTTTCCCCACACTGCTCAGACATTTATTACGAAAAAGACTCTTTGAAAAAAGTTGTAATATTTCGGAGAATTTTTTAATCACACTTTTATCACATAAAAATGGCCGACGACTAAATACCACTATTTTGAAAATTGAGATACCTATAGCTGTCACTTCCCACGAGGAGTTAGTGTTTTATTATCCACCATGGAAAATGACAATTAATAGATAATTTGCCACACCGAATCAGATATATGTAATTTTCACTTTTTTCAACTCATTTTGAATTTCAATTAAAAACGCTATTTGAAAAAGTTCAGAATTTTTTCTATTTGTTTTATCATTCTATCATAATTTTTGGGAATTTCTACATGATGTACTACTCAATTGACAATTTTGGATTACGAAAGATAAAAAAAATCCAGATGAGATTCGAAAGATAGTACGCCCGGGCCTTCAATGGGCAATTCCATTTTACTTATCATTCTGATATAATGGGGTAGCCTATCACTACTACCCTAGTAGTAATACTAATACTTAATACTATCTACTTAATTTCCATTGCCTAAGAACAATCAATGCATAAAATTTGATTATTAAAAATAATAAACTTGAAATAATATTTCATTCGATAAATAAGTGGCAACTAATGGAAATAATAAATAAATTTCATCACTACATTGAAAGGATAACAAACAATATGTATCATATGGCAAAGTCTATTGACTATTCGACATCTTCAATGAAATGGTAAAATTAAATGAGCAATTTATCATAAGAACGATCAATAAATAGGATTTGATTGTGGAAAATAATAAACTTGAAATAATATTTTATTTGATAAACAATTAGGAAATATCGGAGACGATAAATGAATTTTATAATTACATTTAAAGCATAACAAACAAAATTTCTATCATATGGTAAAGTTTATTGGCTATTTGACATTTTCAATTAAATGGTGAAATTAAATGGGCAGTACTATTTTATTTATCATTCTGATAAAATGGTGTAGCCTGCGTATTTAAATCCCGTTTTATAAGAACAATTAATGCATAGAATTTGGTTGTTAAAAATAACAAACTTGAAATTACAGTGCATTTGATCAATAATTTGAAACTATTGGAAACAATGAATGAATTTCATAACAAAATTTGCAACCTTGAACACACAAAATTGGAATCACATGGCAAAACCTATTGACTGTTTCACAACGTGATTGAAATTTTGAAATAAACCAGGCAATATCATTCTGATTAAATGAAATAGCGTATCTATTCCGTTCGAATTTCATAATCAAAATTGATGAATAAGCGTCTGGTCGGCTAAAACAAAAAACTTGAAAAAAATAAAAAAGAATACTGCACCATAAGAAACCATTGGAGATACAATTTCTATTTGATTTTTATGAAATAGTACCCAGCTGTAGTCAGCTCGACTTATAGATAATTTTTCCCGGAAAGAGAGAAAGAATTAGAATCGGAGAAAAATTGAGAAATTTTTATTGAGACATTTCTTTCCGGAAAACAGTAAACTCTGCAGAAATGCTCCTATCAGAATTATTATATTTCTCAATGAATTAAACTTGAAGTTTAAGAAATTATTCGATAGTTCCTAGTGAACATCTTGTCACTTTAGGGATATAGATCAAGTTCCATAGAATGCACAATGCGTCAGATGCATTTCTTGTTGTTGAGTTTCATTTTTTTGTTATTGTTATTCCAGGGGCCAAGAACCTCTATGTTATTGCTGTGCAGGGTA